AAATTGTGCAATGAAACACATGTGGAGAAGTGCACAGATCATAAATATATAGTTCAATACACTATCATAGGGGTCATCAAACTGTGGCTCACGGGCCAATTCCAGCCTACCATCTGTTATTGTAAACAATGTTTTATTAGAATACAGCAATACCCATCATTTACGACCTGTCAGTAGTTGCTTTTGAACTTCAGTGGCAGAGCTGAGTGGTTAAGACAGATGCATATGGCTTCCAAATCTTAAATATTTCCTAGATGACCCTTTACAGAAAAAAATATCTGTGAATCCTTGTGTCATCACATTGTGAGCATGGCTATCGCCAGGTCCAGAAATAGAATGTACCCAATGCCCAGAAGACCCCCACATGTTCCTTCCCAACCACTGCTCCTTCTATCTAGTGAAAACCTCCCTCTACTTCTCACACTGTTCATTGGTTTTGCCTGTTTTTAACTTCATGTGAATGCAATTATACTGTATGTGAGTTCTGCCATCTTAATTTCTGTGCTATGCTGAGGTGCTTAGCATAAGACCACAAAAAATGGGAAGCCAGTCTTATTTTCCCTGAGTACTCAGTAGGTGAGCATATAGGAGACAAGGCACACTGACCCATGTCTTGCTTCTTCTGAGAAGAGGACATTTAGGGGTCACCATTTTTTGTTCCAAGTTGAATTGTGGTTCTTTCTGACTACCTTTACTAGTTTTCTATTGCTGCTCTAACAAATCACCACAAACTTAGTATTTCAAACAATATAGAATTTATTTTCTTATAGTTCTCAAGGCCAGAAGTTCGAAAGGATCTCACTGGGCTAAAATCAATGTTAGTAGGAACATGTTTCTCTGGAAGCTCCTTAATTCCCATTCTACACACTCTTCCTGAATGATCCTGTTACTTTAATGACTTTACTTATTATATCTGTGATGACTTGCAAATATCTACCTCTTCCACCTCTGTTCTGACCTTGAGACCTGCATCTCTAACTCCTTGACTGCTTGTCTGACATCTTTTGAATGCCCCCACACACCTTGAACCCACACATCTGCACTGACAGTCCTTCCAGGGTCTACCCAGCTCATGGACTGGCACCACTTTCTACCTAATTGCTGAAAGCTGATTTCCTAAAACTTTTTCTGGATTTGTATCTCTTATTTAACCTCTAAATTCAGTCATTTATCACATTCTGTCCATTCTGTACCCTTAAGAGCTTTCCGGGTGTATCTATGTCTCAACATCTTCACTGTGATGGCTCCAGGTCAGGCTTTCTGATTTTTATCTAGTTCACTGTGCCTATATCTCAGCCATGGTCTTGCCCCTTCCACATGGTAACCAAAATGGTTTATCTAAAGCAAAATCTAATTTTCTCTTTTCCCCATAGAGTTAACAGGCTTGTGCCTTATTCACTATCATGCTCCTGACACCTAAAAGAGAACCTGTAACAGGAAACTCTCAATAAATACATGTTAGTTAATTGGGACTCTGACCTATCCGTCTGCTGCAAGCTCTTCTTTCACATCCGCCAACCTCCTTGGGCTTTCTCTGATTCCAAAATCCTCCATCCTGACCTGGGTTTCCCTTCTCCTCTCTCTCATTTCTATAATTGAAGAACACCTTCTTTCCAAGAGAGATCACTACCTTAATCACAGTGTCTGATCTATAGCATATTTCTGATGCATGTTTGATGAATTAATGAATCCTTATATGAAAAAAGAAATGGAGTCATAAGATTGTCAGAGATCATTTCCCAGAGTCTGCAAATATGCTCAACCTATTGGTAGCATCCAGTTGAATATTCTAGGGCAGGAAATGAACAGCTAATCTGGGACAGGAGGGATGGGAAAGGTTATCTGGTCCCGTCCCCTGAGTTAAGGCAATGTTTCTCAAAGTATGGCAAATCCTTTAAGATGCTCTAGGAATCCAGTGAAGTGAGCCACAGTCCACCCTCTGTTGGAGACTGACATCGCCTCATAGCACACTGAAAAAGAAACAACTCAACAGTTAGCAGAACTCCTCAACTTTCACCCTTTAAAAGTTTTTACTTTTACCCTATTGTTTCTCAAACAGAGGTGCCATAGAGCCCTTTCTTGCTGGTAATAGTTACTGACATCCTGCAGATCCAGTGTTCCAGCTGACATACTGTGGGCAATATTAGTCTAAGCAAACCTTGACTTTTTGTGTGACTCAACTTTTACAAAGTGAAGAGAATTGATTTCAATGAATATTCTCTCTACTGCATGAGATGATTGTGTTCAGAGGAACCTGAAAATGACATTTTTTTTTTAATCTGCCAGAGCAGAAGCAGGTTTTAGTGTTCCCTTTGTCAAAGTAAGCTTTGCCTTTAGTTAGAGGGGAGGAGGAAAACCCAGGTAATTATATAGTGACGGGGACTGTTCTTTTTTCTCCCATTGAGTATCAATGTCTCTCTTCTCAAACAAAGGTGCTATTGAGATTGTGAATCATAAAATTGATTTCTCCAACTTCTGGGCACCATCTGGGCTCTGAAGTAAAGGGTCTCTCGTATAGAGGAAGGCATTTTTAGCCAGAGGTACCTTATTGTGTCCTTCAAGGACTTCATATAGCTATTCTGCATGCCATTTGTTCATTCCAATAACATACATACAGCCTCCATTCTGCTAGGTGGTGGCAATATCCAGATTAAGAAACTGACTTATGGCCACCCTGAGTGAGTAAAGTTGGAATAAACTCGTATGCCATTCTTCTCCTCCATTTTTAGGGCACTCGATGTGTACCAATGATTCTGCTAGGTGCTTTCATTGTCTTTTTTTTTTTCTTTTCAGAATATAAGACTTTAAGTAACATAACATAATAAAAAATTATAAATAAAGTTAAAAAAAGAATATAAGACTTTATTATCATATTCAATTTAAGGTAGAACTATACTAGTCTAGATCAATATCATTAGCAAGATTACAAATCTCAAGAATTTTCCATTCTACTTCCTTATACTTTTCTCTCTTTTTCAAAATGCATAATATATTAAATAGGATTAGGTGTGGCTATTACAGAGTGACTTAAACAAGAGACAAGTTATTTCTTTCACATAAAGGTCAGAGGCAGGTAGTGGCAGTGCCTTCTCTGCTTCAACAGTGGCAGTCACAGGTTTGGAAAGACGTTCACACTCACAGGACCTAGTAGGCTTTATTGGCCTATAGGACTGAACCCAGCACCAGACTCACTTAACTTCACAGGAAACAGAACAACGGTGTGCGCCTTATTTCTACAGGCGGTTTTAGTCTGGTGCCCATGTGTCAGTTCAGGTGTAAGAACAAGATTATTTGGGTGGATGCAGAAGCTGGGCTAGCTTAGAACCTTCAGACTTTGCAAGAGTCAGCATCTCTTGAAACAGCCATGAGTGTAGCTTTCAGGAATCTTTGTAATAAGTAATACAGTGCTTGGGGCACCTGGCTGGCTCAGTCAGTAGACCATGTAGCTCTTGGTCTCAGGTCTGTGAGTCCAAGCCCATCACTGGGCACAGAGCCCACTCCAAAACACAAACAAACAAATAAACAATACACAGTGCTTAAGTAAGTTCAAAGTCCATTATTTGCCAAAGGGCATTTATAGCTATTGTAGTCTTCCTGGTCTAGACACAATTTACCAATAAGGGGTCATTTTTTTTTTTTTAAGTAGGCTCCACATGGAGCCCAATGCAGGGCCTGAACTCATAACCCTGAAATCAAGACCTGAGCTGAGATCAAGAGTCAGACACTTAACCAACTAAGCCACCCAGGGGCCCCAATAAGGGGTCATTTATAATCACAAACAATATTGCCTGACTTCACAGCTGACATTCTATTATTACCCTCTCTAGCAGATTTCTGGAGAAACAGTGCCAAAAGGTAAACTTGAAGTCATTTCACCAGGGAGAAAAAGAAAGGGTTTTGTTATTAACCTTCTTTATTCTTGGCAGTCCAGGGCAGCATCGTATCAGGATCCAATCTTCTATCTTGTTGCTCTGCCACTCACAGATTCTATTTCCACAGTTTCTTTATAGTCCGAAAGCCTCCTGAAGCTCTAGCCACCACATCCATGTTCCAGCAGGAAAAAAAGTGGCTCATCTCCCTTTATGCTTTAAAGTTTAAGGAAATTTTCCAGAAGCATCCACAACTCAACACTTAGAATTCCATGTCACTGACCAGAACTTGTCATATGGCCATATACATACATATATACACCTATATGGGCCCATGGCTAACCTGAATAATTCTGTGATTGTTACAAAATAAAAAAGAAAGAACAGATACTGGGTCAGGTAATTAGCAAGATGGGTCAGAAATAGGATGTTGGGAGGAGGAAGAGATTTACTGGCTTTGAGGAGAAAAAGACCAGAAGCCAAGGAATGTAGGCAGTCTCTAGAAGCTGGAAATGGCCCTCAGATGACAGGAAGAAAATGGGACACTGATGCTTCAGTGGCAAAGAGCTGAAATCTGCCAACAAATAGATGAACAAGGGAACAGAATGTCCCTCACCCCCAACCTCCAGAAAAGAATGAAGTCCTTCCAACACCTTGATTTTGGCCCAGCCCATGTCAGATAGCTGACTTACAAAACTACAAGATAATGCACTTGTATCATTTTAAGCCACTAAGTTTGCAGTAATTTATAATGGCTCCAATAAAAAAAAACTCATACACTTACCTTAATAAAACCCTCAATTTAACGGACTTACCACAGAAGAGTCCCAATAGTCATTTATACCAGATTTTTAAAAATTTAATTCCTATTGGGTCCTTAATGACTTTGACATTAAACTGTGCTCTAATCAGAAATGCATGTATAACCAACAAATCTAGTAAAAGAGTAAACAACTGAAATCTACACAGTCAATGATTTTATATAAAAACTCCAAAAAATTTGTTACTAGTTATGAGAAATATTTCATCTAAGAGTGATTTTCAAGGCAGTATCTTGAGTTTCCATAAAAAAAATAAAAAATAACCTTCCATCTCCAAAGAAGAGATATCAGTAAGAGGGCCAGAATTCTCTTATTCCAAGTTCAGTGATTTCCCCTGTTTATAACTCAGGTTTGAATTATCTTTCCTTTGAATCTCTTGCTCTTCCAACTCCAAAGATTTATCTGAGGCTAGAGCTACAACGTCGTCATCTTCATTTTCATGCAGAAAGCTACAAATCATGTTGGGTCTATAGCAGAAATCATCGTCCTTGATTTGCGGCCATTTCACACCACCTAGGCTTTCTTCTCCTTCCTTCTTTTCTGTCAAAAGAGTGCTTGTCATGCTGAACTTCTTCATTGTACGGTGTTTATATTTTAGCATTATTTTATTACTGCCTTCTGCATCACCATGTTCAACATTTGCTTCAAATGTAACACAGGTTCCAAGAGTGTCTTCATACTCTCCAGCAAGGACACAGCTGCCCACTTGTATAATGGGACTCTCAGTGTCAATTTCCCAAACCTTGCATTTATTTTCACATTTTGATATAAAGACTGAATCAATAATTCTGGACAATTCCACCAGAACCAACTTCTCTACTTCCCTCACAGCAAATTCCCCATCCTCCTGGATGGACTCTCGGTCGCAGCCATGATTCCACAACACATTCATTGTCTTGATAAATCCTTAAAGTTACCTGGAAGATGATTATCACAACCATATTACAATTCCAGAAACTGAGGCTAAGGGACAGAGTCACATGCTGCAGTTATTAGGGGATAGTGTCAAAGTTTGAGCAGGTCATGTTCCCTCCACAGCTCATTGTTCTCACAGTTGGACAATGTGATGTCACTGGTGGAAAGTTTAAAGGTTAAACTTTTGCTAAGGATCAAAGGTGAGCTGGTATAGAAGAAACAGCCACCAATTATGGCGTGCCTGTTTTTAGGAGCTATCACTCAGCTACAGCAACAGCAGAGAAACTTTTACATCCTATCTTAGACCTCATGCAAATTCCCTCACAGCAACATTGGCTTTGTGAAGAATTACATTTCCTGCTGCAATGATTAGATAGACAGGCTCCTTTGAGTCCTATCAACCAGAACTTAGCCCTGTGTTTTGTTGAAAAGTCTTTGAATACTCTCTTCATGCCAGCTTTCTCCCTCTTTTCAGAGGGATAATAATGCAAGTCTCTGTGTCTTTCATTCACTTCCATCTACACCATTTCCTTTGAAATGTGCCTATTGCCCTGTTGTCAAGACAAATGGTACTATGACAGTTTGTGTGATAGAAATGAGGACCAGAAGAGCCCAAGGCCATGGTTAGCACCCTATAACACCTCCATCCATCCTAGCACTGACAAATGGTGTGATATACTTTTCTGTGTATCTGCCTTTTCCTCAGGACATTGAGAGTATCTCGAGGGCAGAAGCTATGTCTTTCACCTGTACTTTTCTAAGGTATGGCCAAGAGTCTGAAGGATATCAATGTGTAACACATTTAAGAAGTATGTCCTTGGGTGGAATCTGGGATTCTGATTACTCCTGAATGTTTTACCTCCAGCCCTCAACACACCCTACAACTCAAGACAAGACAAATCTAAATGCCAACTTGACATCTCTACATGCATGCTGCCAGCATCACAAGAATAATGTGACTAAAGCATAACTCTTTATTTCTCATTACAATCTTGCTTTTTCTGGGTTTCACCATCCCAGTAAGTAGCTTCATAGGCGTGCACACTAGAAACTGAGTTATTCTTGATCTTTTTATTTTTTTTTTCTTGTGTCTACTTTTTAGGAATAATTGGTCACCAAGTCCTCTGGACTTTATATTCAGATCATATCCAGAATTGTCCACTTTTTCCAGCTCCCTGGTCTTTACCCCAGTCCAAGCCACCATCTTCTCTTATCTGAACCATCGTAAATACTGTCCCCATTGGTTCCCTTGACCTCTTGCAGTCCATTCCCCCAGAAGTACTCAGGGTGATATTTTAAAAAGGAAAATAAAACCAAATCACTCTTCCACTTAAGACTATTACCTGGCCTTTCTTGTCACTGAAACAAAGAAATAAACAGACAAATTCAAACTTCTTTCCTTGGTTTGCAAAACCCTCTTTGATCTCACTGTACCACTCCTTTGACTCTATTCATTACCTCTCTCCTTGTGTCCCACATGCACCAGCTGTGCTAGCTTGCTTGGTATTCCTTGGACTTTCCAAGTTTCACTCAGGCAGAGAGGCATTTGTACTCGGTCTGGAATGACTTGTCTCTTCATCCTGTTTACGTGGCTGGTTTCTTCTTGTCATTCAAACCTCAGCCTACATGGGACCTCTTCAGAGAGGCCAGTTCCAACCACCCAGTTTTAGGTAGCCACATATCTACTCTCTACCGTATTATGTTAAGTCTCTTCTTGGACAACACCTTCAGATCAGAATAGGTTTTGTCCAAGGAGAGATTTAAGATAATTTTCTGATATGAAATTCTTCTTGCTATTTCTTTTGTCTGTTTCTCCCTCTACCTTTCCACCCTCTGGATTATAAACTCCAGCAGAACAGGAATCCTCTTGTCATTTTCAATGCTATGTCCTGTATAGAATGCCTGCAATGTAGCCTGAGTCCCATGAATATTTATGCAATGGCTCTCAGAGGTGTCACTTCACACTGTAGAGAGATTGTTGGTGCTTTCTGCAGGGTGGATGGTCAAGGATTAGAAGGCTGTCTAAATTAATTCTTGAAAGCCTGGAATAAGATACATTATTATACCCTGTCTTTCAGAGGAGGGAACTGATGCTCAAAGAGGTTAAGCAAGTTGCTTAAAGGCAATAGTTTATCGTGACTAATTAGACCTGGAAGGTGAGGGAAAGAAAGGAATCAAGGGTAATTCAGATTTCTGGTGTGAGGAAAACATGCCACTCTCTCCTAAGATGGGAAAATCTGGGTGAAAACAGATTTTCAAAGAGAAATCAAGAATTCTCTTTTGGCCATGTTATTCTTGTAGTGCCAAAGACCCCTTCTTCTTCCTAATGAGAAGGTCAAAATTTGGGCTCCTACTCTGAACCGCAAATGTCATGCTGCCTTCCCCAACAGTGTTTGGAACTTTCACAGTCTCTTTCCTTCCCTGCAACTGGGGTGTTCCATCTAAGTGATTTTTCCATCCAAATTAGAGAGGTGGTAGGCCATACATTTCTGCAGTCTGGAGATAAGGAAGATAATATTCCAACTGGGAAGTGTAAGTGATACCTCTTAAAAGGAGGCCAAGGAGGCAGTTTGCTTCGTATGTTGATGACTGATAAGTGAGGCCTTTGAAGGTTTGGGGGAAGAAGTGAAATTTCAATGTAAGAATGGGGAAGAGGGAAAGCACAGGAAGGGCAACTTTTGCCTACACCCAGGTCTCTGATAATAATGTTACCCCCTAATGTGGACAGGGCTTTACAATTTCCAAGTATTTCACATTGCTTATCATTTGTGAACCTGACAACAACCTGCAACATGCGATGTTTATCCCTGATAAACAAAAGAGGAAACTGAGCATCAATAGTATTAAGTAGTTGTCCAAGGTTATTGAGTTACAAGTGAGATGAGGCAGACCTCGAAAGCTGATCTTCCAAGTAACATCAAGGCTTCACATGCCTTGCTTCTCACAGAACCCTGAGGCCCTTCTTCTCCGCCCCTGTGCAGAGGACACTTTCCCTCTCTCCCCTCTACGTGCCTCTATATTTTGTCCACTTCAGTTCTGAAGTTCACTGTCTTGCCAAACTAGCTGAAAAGCTGACTTTATACCTATCTGGGGCCTCTGTTGAAGAATTAGCTATGAGTTGGTTTCAGGAAAGGTTATTGAGAAAGAACAAAACAGTGAAGATAGTCGGGAGGATGTGTGTTGCTTGGTGACACTGATAGATCTGTTTCTTATGCTTGAGGTCATTGGTTCTCAAACATTAATGAGCAAGAGAATCATGTGGAGAGCTTATTAAAATCCAGATTACTTAGTCCCAAGTATCAGGGATGTTGACTGAGTAGATCTCAGGGGTAGAACCCAAGAATCTGCATTTCTACAAAATGCAGATGATGCTGGTCCGAAGACCACTTTGAGTAGCACTGCTCTAAAGCAGCTGTACCTGCTTGCCCTCCTTGATGAAGTCCTGGTGATGGAGATAATCTCAGGTGGTGTTGACAGAAGTATCTACTGATATAAACTCTCTCCAATCAAATTCTGAAAAGTGTGTTTTGACCAAAAGTTCCACTTCAGGGAAATATATCTTAAGGGAGTAATTAAGAATATGAGTAAAAATTTTGGTACTATATGCCAGGCTTTTTTTTTTTTTTAGAAGTCCAGTAATTCTTTGTAGAATGAGTTGAGGTATAGGACACTCATTGCTGAAGTGTTTATAATGGAGAACAATTGGAGGCAATCTAAATGTACAAACGTCAGAAAGGATTGATTGATGACCTTAACATACCTACTCTCAATTGGAAACCAGTTTATTTTAAAATTTTAGAAAGGATGGAGACAATACAGCGATATGTGAAAACAATTAACATGGCTTCATTTTGTCACATATTTTCAAAAACAATAGTGATGATATATTAGTTAATTCTTATTGTGATGAATGGTGTTTTCTGTTTTTAGTTCATGATAAACATGTATCAATTGCATCACAAAATAAAACTTGTGTAAAATCAGCCTAAAAGGGTAACTGTTTAGGAGCTCAGTTCTCTGATTCAGGACTTTTTCCTGGATCTGCCATCTTGGAGGAAGTAGGAATTTTTAGGATGGGGAGAGGAATGTTCATTGCCTTTGAAGGGGCAAACCCAGTTGCAAACCCAGTTAATGGAAACCAAACGTGTTTGAACCTCGGCTTTCCAGCTGGGTTGCTCTTTATCTTGGAGCCCACCCTTAACTCTGGCATGAGCTGTCCTTTCCTGTGGGGCTGATGTGCAAGGCTGGTTTTTAGTGGAGGTAAGCACCTTAGGGATGTAAACATTAACTGGATTGGGCATTATTTTGAAGTCACCTTGGGCAAATTGTATACATCTCCTTTGAAACTTTTAAATTAGTTGGTCAATATTAACCAGCAATGATTGTTAGATCAACATTTCAGGGGACATGATTGACTGCTGTTTGACAATTTAAAAAGTAATAAGAACACTGGTATCTGCTTTCTGTATGAAAAGAAATGTTACCACTAATAATCTCTATAGAAGATATGATGTTATAAGCATGAAACTTTACTCATCTGGACTGTTAAAATGAATGACATTGCCTCTGCTTGGATGAATTGTGGGTTAATACCTCTTTCCATTTTGTAAGTATTTTCATGGAATAGGTATTGACTTTCTAATAACTCACTAAAAATGTAATAAAATAGGAACTGGTTAAGAAAGATGTTACTAGAGGGGAAGAGGCAATTCGATAGATGGGAAACAGAATTTAGAGATGAGCATGTAGAACCTGGCAATAATCTGTGTGATTATTGACAAATTACTTCAAGGAGATGCCTTCATTTCTAAAAGTTTGTCTTGTGTGGATTTTGAAGTCGGACATTTAAGTTAGTGTTATGTTCATCAGCTGTGTAACCTGGGGGTGGAGGGGAGGAAATCCTCCATCTTTTCGACTGAGTTATGTTGTTGCAAAAAAGACAACCTAGATCCTCACATTAAATAAGTCCTGCTCAGTACATGCTTGTTTGTGGTAATGGTGCTGAGGGTTAATACTGAATCCCAGCAATCTTCCACCTATGCACAGATTTGACCTTACTGGCTTAGCCAGAGAGTAAAAATGCATTTAGACTCATTAGTTTCATTACGAGAGTGATGACATAAAAATCTATTGGAAAAGAGTTAAAAAGAAAATGCCCTGTAATCCCACCACTTCAACACAGTCATTGATGGATACTTTTTATAGGGAAGGTCAGCCGGGTTAGAAAAATGAAAACTTTGAGTTTCAGGTTCGAGGTTGGATAAGAAGGCTCTTAATTTCTCTGACCCTGAATCCCTTGATTCCCAGGACCTAGAAAGAGATATTCTCTTTTCAAAGTAGTTTTGAGGTTTAACTGAAAAAAGTAAAATAAAATGCTGTTTAAGATATTTAGCATCAGCACTGATTTTTATGGGAAAACATTAGAGATACAATAACTTCATTCATTCAACAATTCAACAAATGTTTAATGACTTACATATATTTGGAACTATGTGCTGGGAGATACAGTGGTGACCAACAGCAGTAAAAAACACAATCTCTGTCCTGGTAGACATTGCAGGCTGATTCAGAAGACAGACTTAAAACAAGTAATCACACATATAAATACAGAGTTCCAAATTGTCATAGAGTTGTGCAAGGACAAGTAGAGAGTTCTAAGAGGGGGCATCACTGGGAGCCTAATTTCACTGGGGAGCCATCACTATCTTTTGAGGGATGCTTGCAATGGTGGATGGGTAGAAATCAATCAGTTTAAGGGATGGGATGGGTGGGCCTTGCGGAGTATGGGAGTGAGGAGTCCAAAGTGAGAAACAACTTGGTCTTATTTGAGAATATGAAAGAATAGCTTTGTAGTTAGAGCACATGGAGGGAGAGGGAGCATGGCACAAGATGAAGCTGGGGAAGTCAGCTGGGCCACACAAGGAGGGATTTCCTGCTTATGGCAAACTATATGGATTATCCAAAGTACAAAAGGGGACACTGAAGAGTTTGGAGTGGGCAAGTGGCCTAATATCCCCTCGCTGTGTAGAGACTGGGTTAAAGCAAAGGGTGGTAGCAAATGGAGAAGGAGAGGATGAATAAAAGCTGCTGGAGTGATCTAGAAAAAAGATGATGATGTCTTAACTTAGCATAAGGTCTACGAAGGGTTGAACAGTGGGTGACTTGAGTATTTTCGAAGTAAACTTCATAGGACTTGTGAAAAACTACTCAGGAGGATTAAGGAAGAGGGTCTGAAATGGCTCTCAGATTTCTCGTCTAAGAAACTTGACAGAGGGCAGGCATTCCCTGTCCCTGAGAGAGGAGAGACAAAGGGGAGAATTTAGGTTTGAAACAGGATGATTTTGAGACAGGTATATGGGAGACATTCAAATGAAGATAGCAAGTAGGCCACTGAATATACAAATTTGGCAATTGCATCAGGCTCATTTCTTTTGATGATGCTAAGAACCAAGGAGCTTCTCTACTACTTTTGTAGTTGTTAGCACTTGACTATCTCTGAGGCATCTAAGAGGTAATAGGCAATTTCTGTCTTACCTTACTTAGCCTTGTTGTGTAGTGAACTGTTGTTCTGTTCTAGCCAGCTATCTCTATCATCATCTTCATTACCTTTTATGGACTGTCTACTGAATTTAGTTTTCTATCCATCCATCCATCCATCCATCCATCCATCCATCCATCCATTTCCCCAGAAATAGACTATGCCCAAGATCAGAAGTGCACATATGAGGTCATTAAATCTATTCACTGTACAGACGAGAAAATTGAGGTCCAGTGGAGAGAAACTTCTAGTCCAGAGGCACTTGCTGCTGGTTAAAATTCCACTTCTGCTTGTTGTATCTACCCTAGTTCCTCAACCAGTATTTTTCATCACTGTGGCTCTTTGGACAATGGCCCTGCCAGAAGGTGAGAGAGAATACTGCCAGGCCTCACTAGGTAGAGTGTGCACCTCTTTCCAGTATTTCTCCCCCCCTGGTGTTTAAATGTGTTGGGCTCCCCTTTGAAGTCCTGCAGAGTGAAAGCACCAGCAGGCGGTCTCTTCCAAGGAATCTGCAGTCAGTCTGCTAACAGGCAGCTTGTCTCCCCTGCTGCTGGGACAGGACAGAGAAAGGGTTTATAGCAGGGGACAAGATAATGATCAAAGGAAAACTTAGACTGATGGTTTCAGAAAATCTTGTGTGATTGATTTAGAGGTGGAGATGGAGGGACCTGCTGGCCTCTAAAGGTTGCAGATTTGGAACCTGCCAGGAGTTAACTCTTTGGGAACTGCTGTACCTCACACCCTCAGAACAGACAGAATGAGGCATCAGCAGGGTGGCATCAAAGTCTACTTTCCTTTAACCAGCTCTGCCTGTCCCAATTCACCCCAAACTTCAATGATGGAGTGAAATTAAAAAAAAAAAAAAAGAGGAAAAGCAAAGAGAATAAATTCACTGCTTATTTCTATTCTGAATCCATTAACCCAGGAGTCAAACTGATCCTAATAAGTTCAATGGTTATGTTTCTTGGCTGATCACTGCAGTGCATATTTCTTAAGTGCTGGCCAAGTGCTAGGCACCACTGGGATGCTAGAGGTTCACAAGTAAGAAGATGGGTTTCTCTGTGTTGTGGCTCTTGGCTCCACATTCGGTCCTATTATCCCTCCATTCTTGCCATTGCTAGTCTCCCTGTGACCACAGGCCCTGGTTTCCCTTGCTAAGAATGTCCTGCTGCCCCCTGGTCTGCCCTTTGAACATCTTTCTCTTCCAAGTCTCATCTCAAGGGATGAGTCCCCAGATTTCAGAGTACGACTTCTGGGGGGTGAGGCCTGACACTGTGGAAGCCACTTGGAGACATCCCCTTGGAAAGTGACAAGAGCTATCCAGCGCTAGAAACTGCTGCCCGTTGGCTCAGCAGAAGTGGTGGTCCATGGCGGGAGGTGGGGGAGAGGGGCGGGAACCGATGTGTGAGCTGGAAGAAGGCATAGCACCAACAGAATGTAGCCTCATTGTGACCAGCCTTGTGACTGTGGGGCTAGCTGCTCATCTTTATCATGCTTAGTTTCTTCCTCTGTACAGTGGGAAGAAAACTGCCTCCTCTCCAGATTGCTAGGATAATAGAAATAGGTGATGGTTATGAGGCAAAGAGCACCCAGTGGATGCCCCACTCTGCATACCTCTGTCAGTTTCGGTTTTCTGGAAAGCAGCTGCCAAGACAGAATTAAATGGGCAAGAGGCTTGTTGTTGGGGAAAATGCTGGTGCAGGACCAAAAGGAAAGTGAGTCGGGGAAGGGGAGAGAGGCTCCTCCTGTGGGGTGGGCCTGGCCTCTGGGAAACAGAGGAGAAGTAGGAGGAGGCAGGAAGAACCTGAGATCCCTCTCCAGCACTGAGGAAGTCTCAGCCAATGGAAGGAAGCCAGAGCCTCCTGCACTGAGGGGTGAAATGGCCTGGTCCTAGTGTCCCTGCTGTGCTTAGTCATCAGCTGGGAGCTGCCCTGAGAAGGAGGCCCTGGACCCTCAGCCTGAGCATCTGCTGCATCCCCATGACTGGCACTGGAGGCTTCCTGAACTCCTTCCAGCAGGTTCTCTGTGGAGGGACATCTGAACAGCAAACCGCCACAGCAGCCACACACCCCTCTTTCTTCTTCCCTTGTCTGTGCAATTGGGCTGAACATTTCTATCATTTATTATATTAGTGTGCCAGGACTGACATAACCAGATACCACAGATTCAGGGGCTTAAACAACAGAACTTAACCTTCTCACAGTTCTGGAGGCTGTTGGCAGAGTTGGTATCTCCTGAGTGCTCTCTCCATGGCTCGTAGAAGCTGTCTCCTCCCCGTGTCCTCACGTGTTCTTTGCTGTGTGTGTACACCACTGGTGTCTCTGCTTATAGGGACCCAGTCATATTGGAGTAGGGTTCCTCCTTATGACCTCATTTAATTTTAATTTCCTCCACAAAGGCCCTGTCTCAGTAGAGTTGCCTTGGGAGTTAGGTCTCGAAAATATGAAATTTGGAGGACACAATTCAGTTCATAATACTCCTGTACTTCTCCCATTTTTTCCTTCCATCTCTCTCCCTCTTCTTTTTCCCTCTCTTCAGTCAGTTAATGTGTTTTGCCTCTCTTCTTCCCTCTCTTTCCCTCCTGCTCTCCTTCCCTATCTCATTCTTCAAATTAAGAACCTATCATATTCTACCCAGTGTGCTAGGGATGGAGAGATAAAGATGCAGTTTTCTTCCTCTGAAGATGACCGCTTACCGGGAAGAGCTAGTTGGGACTGCCAGGTGGTATGATGAGAGTGAGCCTGCTGGTTTGAAAGAACACAAAGGAGAAATCTCCGATCCAAACTAGGCTTGCTGGGAGTGATCCAATAACGCTTCCTGGAGGAGGTGGCATCCAAATGTTAAAGAATGGTTAGAATTTATTCTGGCAAAAGATGTATGCACAAATACAAAGGGTTCTATGAGATTATAATCTGTTCAGCCAAGCTTTGTCAGTCCAGCATACCTGGGGCATAGGGCAAGTGCTGGGGAAGTGTGGGAGCCAAGAATAGAGGGGGAAGCTGGTACCGGTGCTGGCACCGAGGGAGTAGAGATCACACAAATTCTGATGCCCAGCTTGGAGCTTAAGTTTATCCTGAAAGCTGTGACAATGTCTCCTTCCCTCCTTCCTTCCTTCTGGTGGTTAAATACATTAACAAACCAGCTCCCCAACATTTCAAGGTATCTGGACTCGATCTAAGGTTCACAGTGTTTTTTTTTCTCCTGTCTTTGCCAAATCACAGATGCAAAAGTTTACATGGAAGGGCACCTTTCCCTTCCCTCCTGCACCTTCCTTGACTCCACCTGCCCACTCCGAAGCAGAACCTGCAGCTCACAGAGGTGCAGCTGTCCCTGTGCTATAAACAGTGACATGCCACCATCCCCCTGTTATTAGTGTAGCTGCTGTGCACATCAAGAAAATGCCTTCCTCTTAGGAGCAGCATGCAAAATGGCCCAGAAACATCATATTGAGACCTGGAAGATGCAATTTAAATTTTCTGTGGCTGTGGAGACACCCCCGACACAGTGATTACATATGTTGACCAAAGGCAATGTAGCAGGATGCCCTGTAATTGGAGGTCCCAGACTGTGGGCCGGAGTTGAGGATGACGACCTGGTGAAAGGGGCATGCACTGCTGGACAGTGCTCCTGTGTGGCAGGTGTGCTGCACACGTCCTCGGGGTTATGCATATCCGACACAGAACTGGAGAGCAAGCCCTGAGTCCAGAGACCTTGTTGCTGCCGAGGAGGAAGATGAGACTCGGGAGAAGGGCTGGGGTAAGATCTTTGTCACACAGCTAGCTTGTGGCAGAGTCAGAACTAGGATTCAGGATACTGAAATGCAAGTCCAAACCCCACTCGCTTGTTCATAAAGCCTGTTTTCAATGCTTACAAAGTTCCAGGCTCTGTAGAAGGGAACTGGGACACACAGGGAATAAGGACAAGGAATCTTCCAGCCTGGAATTTGCAGTCTGACTACATCCTAGAAGCATGCTGGTATTTAACAGAAAATACCAAGGCCTGGCCCTAACCCCAGAAATTTTGACCTAATGGGACCTTGGAGGGGCACAGTTATCAGCATTTTCTAAAGCTCTCCATTACGTAGAACTGTTGGTCCAGGGTCACACTGTCCAGTGTGTGGCTACTGAGCACGCACAATGTGCTATGAGACTGAGTACAAGCAAAAGAATTAAAAATATCTCAGGAATAACTTATGTTGATGCTATACTGCAATGATAATACTTTGGATATGTTGGGTTCAAGAAAATATATCATTAAAAACTGGTTTCACCTGTTTCTTTTTACTGTTTAAAAATGTGGCTGCTAGGGGAGTCTGGGTGGTCCAGTCAATTTAGTGCCCAACTCTTGGTTTCAGCTCAGGTCATGATCTCAGGGTGGTGGGATCGAGTCCCCCATCGGGGTCTGTTCTCAACTCACAGTCTGCTTGAGACTCTCTTTCCCTCTGCCCCTCCCTGCCACCACCCCTAAAATAAATAAATCTTTTAAAAAAATGTGGCTGCTAGAAAGTTGGAAATACATATGTGGTTCATATTATGATTCCATTGGCAAGCCCAGTTCTAGAGACATTAACATTTTTCTTTAGCGACTGTACAATCTCTCTCTGTGGTTCCTGCACACAAGGACACAAAGTGGTATAACTAGAGGGGCCCCTGATCATATCTTGGGCAGAAGTAGAAAGAAACTTTGCCCTCAAGTCACACTGCCTGAGTTCTACTCTCAGCTTCAATGATTATTTTTGTTGAATGGTCTTGGAAAAGTCAACTCTCTGTGCTTTTATTTCTACATCTGTAAAATGAGGAGAATGGGGCTATTTAAGTTTTCATTGAAATAATATTAGCTATGATTATTACTCTCCCCTCTCTGGGTCTTTTCTGTTGAAATTTGTTTCTCAAACCTCATTCTGTGACCATCTGACACTGAACTGAAACCTTGTCTTAGTTACTTGAGGAATGCATAAATACTTCCTGCTAATTGCAGTCCGCAAGCATCAATTTAATTTCATACTATGTTACATTGTCATAACAAAAGATGTAGCCCCTTCTGGGGCACCTGGGTGGTTCAGTTGGTTAAGCGTTCAGCTCTTGATTTTGGCTCAGGTCAAGATCTCAGGGTTCAGATGGAGCCCTATGTCAGGCTCCATGCTCAGTGTGGAGTCTGCTTGAGGATTTTCTTTCTCTCTCTTTCTTCCCCTCCCCCTGCTTGTACTTTCTCTCTCTCTCTTTGTAAAATAAATAGACAAATCTTTTTTAAAAATGTAGCCTTTTTGCCTTCTCACTGTCTTTTTGTTAACTTCTAAGGAAAAGAGAAGTTAGATGAAAATAAGATGAGTCAATGTCCCCCTTTCCCTCCTCCCAGTTTCTTTACCAGCTTCACATGGCACTTTGAGCTGGGGGGCTTAACAGTGGAAGCCAGGTTAAAATATTCAGGCAGATTTCTTTCTGAATAAGTTTCATTGAGACTTAGGAGTTTATCTCTGGTGGTAGGGATGTCTGGATGAGGACTAAACGCAGGGCTGACTAGATAAATATTTGTTCAACCTGTGGGGACATTTCTTCCATCTTCAGGCTGTTGGGCTCAAAGTAGAGATAGTCTTGTCCCTTTAGAATTCTGTACTGAATGCTTTGCTTCACATTAATGGAAGTCTTGACATAGTCCTGTCCTGCGAATATCCCAGTTCCTCCAGAAGATCAAAGCATAGCAAACATTTTTGGGGGTGCAGTAGGAATGAAAACAAGTTATTATTTCATCAGAATCTTCAGAAGTTCTGGTCTGGGACTCATCCTGGGATGAAGGGGATAGACAGCCACATACCCAGGGAATGAGTTTGGAGAGAATTCTCTTGGAGTGGTTTCACTAGAAGAGAGCATGTATCTGTATTATGAATGTTTTCAGCATATTCAGAGCTAGCTAGTGCCCGACACCTGAAAACAAGTAATGCACCTTTGAGGATCAGGGAACCACTGAGAAAAGTCTTGTGGTCACCCATCGACTGGGCAACAGCCAGAGGAATCCAAAAGACACACATTTGAGACTAGAGTCTTGCACTAAACATGTGGACATAGGAAAGCCACCTACTTCTCTCAGCCTCCTTTTCCTTATCTGTAAAATGGGAGGAATCACCTCAATTTATAAGGTTGTGAAAAAGGTTAGATGAGAGGATGGGCATAAAAGTGTCCAGTGAAAAGGTTAAAGTGAGGGCTGCAAAGACAAAAGGGTGCTGATAATTCTGAACAGACAGAGGTTAATGTGATGGGGAGCCACCAGAGATCCTGGAAGGGGAGCTGTGCTAAACACAATGGATTTATTGGGTTTTTGATGATTTTAAATTTTTTAACTTATCACAATAGTAATACTTGCTTATTGCAAAAAATATGGGGGAGGGAAACATAAAAAAATTAAAATAATTTTCGATCTTATCTTAACCTACCACACAGAACGAACAAAGTCTGTTAACATTTTTGGGAACTCTTCATCACATAAAACTTAATTTGGTGAAATAAAAGAGGAAGAAAATTCCAGTCATTTATTTGAACACAGAGGCATGGCTTGAGCAAGGAGGACATCTGGGTTGGGGTGAGGAAATGTAGCAGAAGGTGAGGCAGGAGACAAATCAGATGGATTTTGTATGCAAAAGCACTAATGATCTTCCCTTTTTACTTTCTTTTTTCAAGGTAAGTCATAAACCCTTAACTTACTTTTCTTTTTAATATTTATTTATTTATTTATTTCAGAGACAGAGAGAGCCCATGCAAGTAGGGGGAAGGCTGAAGGGAGGGAATCTTCAAGCAGAACTCCCCATTGAACATAGACCCCGACTTGAGGCTCAGTCTCATGGCCCTGAGATCATGACCTGAGCCAAAATCATGAGTCGGACACTTAACTGACTGAGCCACCCAGGAGCCTCATAAAACCTGAACTTTCTCTGCCTCTCTTCTGCCTCTCTTCCTGCTCCCGCACCTTCTGATTTTCATCAACTCCTTCAAATACGTTGGCCATGATTTCCCATGGGAAATGTGTACTCTTGCCTAACGAAGAGATCAGAGGGCAGTAGGGCCCTTCCTTCTCTGGCAGAGTTGCTGTGCCACAGTGGGTAGTCATCTCATGTAACATGAATCGTGTGCCTGGGCTGAGTTCCCATGTGGTCTTCCCATTGGGTTATTAATGATTGGAACATGGTGGAACCTTCAGGCCCTCAACACTGCTGTACATATAAACCATCTAGGGTGCAATTTCCAGCTTTTGGCTCCCTAGCCCAGGTGTCCTCCACCTCTCCTTCAGCCTTTATAATGAGCTCTGTCCTTTGTGGCATGTGGCTGAGAAGTCAATGGATTTAGGTTCCTTTCTGATTCCAAAGGTGAGATGAGGTAATGGAACAGGAGAGAAGGAGGAGGAGTGTGTGTGTGTGTGTGTGTGTGTGTGTGTGTGTGTGTGTGTGTCTGCATGTGTGTGTGTGTGTGAGAGAAAGAGAAGGAAACTGAGCAAAGAAGCATGAAA